CTGAGTCAGAGACAAAAACTCCAGTTTTCCCACTGACTTCTCTTCTCTGCCCCACGTCCCAGATCTCTGTTTTGCAACGTGTTCCTGAAACATGCATCTGCAGTAGGAATGCTCTGATGAGGGAAGCCCGGTAGACAACAATAAATACTGTCGACTGAAATGACCTCTCGTCACATGCCAATAAGTCACTGCTCTAGACAAAGGGTCAGCAAACTATGGCCCGGGGCCCAAGTCCATACTGCTGTCTGTTTTTTTTTTTTTTTTTGAGACAGAGTCTCGCTTTGTTGTCCAGGCTAGAGTGAGTGCCGTGGCATCAGCCTCGCTCACAGCAACCTCAAACTCCTGGGCTCGAGCGATCCTTCTGCCTCAGCCTCCCAAGTAGCTGGGACTACAGGCATGAGCCACCATGCCCGGCTAATTTTTTATATATATATATATCAGTTGGCCAATTAATTTCTTTCTATTTATAGTAGAGACGGGGTCTCGCTCTTGCTCAGGCTGGTTTTGAACTCCTGACCTTGAGCAATCCGCCCGCCTCGGCCTCCCAGAGAGCTAGGATTACAGGCGTGAGTGCTGTCTGTTTTTAATAAAGCTTTATTGGAACACAACCATGCCCGCTGCTTTGCATACGGCTATGCCTGTGCTCTTGAACCACAACAGCGGAGCTGAGTTGAGTGGTTACCATAGAAACCATCTGGCCTGCAAAGCTAAGATTATCTATTATCTGTCCCTTTGCAGAAAAAGTTTGCTGACCCCTTTCAGAAAAACCAGAGAGGGAAGCTAGACTATTCTAGGGCTTTCTGGCACTTTCCAACACTCACAAAGCCCCAGAAACCTGCATGGGCAATGCACGTGTACTCAAAGCTCTATATGGTTGATTTTTGTTTGTGGGATAGCCACAGAGTGCTTCCTTTCTGAGACTCCCCCAGTTTTCCAGACCGGATCTCATCGGGCATCTGGCATCCTCCTTCCTTCTGAGCTCCTTCATTTGTCCAGGGAGTTCTCTCTTCCTAGCCAGATGGCAAGTCTTTTGCAGCCTTTTTGGGCCCTGTGGCCTGTGCCTGACATTCCCCCAGGCTGCTTCAGGGGACCTCAGGCTGCCTTCTTGGATGCTCACACACTAATGTCTTTCCAGCACCCTCCCTTTCAAAACGTGGCAGATAGACATATTCTTGAAGAGGACAGCTAGAATGTCACACCGCTGGGCATCACTGCACTTGACAACTGCACCCACCTTTCCTCAGTCCGTACCTCCACCGTCTCCACGCTTGGACTCAACCTGTCCAGTCCAAATTACAAAAGGGAGAGAAGTCTGCAGCCTTGTACCTGTCTGAGGGATGCTGCATATTAATTCTACTGATCAGAGAAGAGCAGCTTCATTAATTATTCTTAACACCAGTCTGCTGGCTGATGCCTCTTTGGGCAGGTGACATCTGTGTGTGCACTCAGCTGAGATGGGCAGCACTGCCCTTCACATCGCTTATTCACAAGAACAGGTAGAGCCTCCAAGCTTAGCAGGTGGCCTACAGCTACGGCATGGTCCATATCTAACGGCACGGTGAAGTGCTTTAGGAAGGCCCACCTGGGCTTGAAACCTAACCTTTCTACTCATAACGTTGTGTATTTCAGCATAATTACATCACCTTCCTGTTTATAAAATGAGGATAGCAATGTCTACTTCATTGCATGGCTGAAAGATTAAATGAAAAAAAAAATGCATGTAACACCCTCAGAGTGTTTGGTATATGCACTGATCACTCAATGGTCTCTACTGTGCCCTAAAAAAAAAAAAAAAATGCAAGGTACACTTACTGTCTATGTGCTGGTAGTTCTGCAGCAAATGTCCTTACCTACCGTGTATCAGGTAACGTGGTGAGGGCTAGGAATATATACTATAATGAACAACAAAAAAAAAGATTTTCCCCAAATCATGGAGCTTACCAACTATTCCCCTGTAAGGTTACACATAAAATGCCCAAATAGCTCTTGGGAGCCCCGTTTTGGACAGTGAGGGGGAAACTCGTGTCCTAGAGCACAAAGTAAACCTGTGAATGAATCGCGAGCAGCATGCAATGCTCCAACGCGTTAATTCACATGTCCCCTCATTTTAATATGGCAACTACGGGTAAGGAAAATGCTTGTTCTTTACCCTCTAAAACTGTCGAGCAAATTAAGCAGAAAAAAAGGAGACAACCTTTCAAAAGCTACCTGGGAACCTGGGTTGGCAAAGAAAGGCACCGAGTCCGGGAACGAGTTTGGAGAAAGTCACAGAATGAGAAGCATCCGGAAAATGATCCATTTGTTGCTGCTTGGCTGCCAAAGAGGGTCCCTTAGCCAAGCCCCTTAACATGAAGGTGAAAGTGGGAGATACAGTTATAGAGATTAGGGGAAAGGAAGAGAAGAAAGTGGTAGGTCTTGGTCAAGGAAAAGCGTATTTAAGAGACAAAGTATTATCCTTAGTGTCCCCAAAAACAAGCACGCTTGCAATTGTGCAAGTGCTTATGCCTTAGCGTGCAACTAAGAAAGAAGGAAATCGACCTGATCTCATTTGTCTCCCCTCTTTTTGGTCTTCTCAGCTGCTACCCTGAGAAGTTTCACGAGCTCCCATCGGGAGGCAGAGATCCTGCCTGCCTCAGCTCTACAGCCAGTGCATTTATCTGCAGACGCAGATGGAGGAGAAAACAGCCACGCCACGTGCCAGCCAGCCGGGGGCAGCTCTGTCACTGTCCCTCAAGCCGGGGAAGTCCCGGCTTCCGGGCGCATATTCCCGCCGGAATTAGGACAAGAACCAGAGAATTCCAGGTGTCCCCAGCTTCTGGGGCTCCCCTGTGCCGATACGCCCCTCACTGAGTGTGCATTTTAAGGTTGAATGACCTTGACAAGTCATCATTAAAAACCAACTCGGTGCCCTACATTGAGATAAGTGCAGGGACGTCTTCCAGGCCCCTCACCGGCGAGGGGCGCCAAGAACATCCAGAACGACAGCGAATCTTCGTAACAGAATCCAAGGGGACCAGTGACAAAGGTCCCGAGCTGCCCAGCCTGTCGACACAACAGGACAGCCCTGTGCGTGGGGCAATGCTCTTTCTCACCAGTGGACATCCTAGGACAGACAAGACTCTTCGAAGCGCCAGCTAAGCTCTTCGCTCAGCGCTGTGGCCTCGGAGAGGCCGAGGATTGCTGAAACAGTCAACAGTTTCCAACCCCGCTCCAGGCGGGGAGGGCGACAGGAGTGGCTGGGACATGTGTTTGGCTGCTCCGGGGCAGCTGTCCTGGAGAGGAGCCACGCCGTAGCTCAGCAGCCAGCGGAGAGCGTGCCAGACGCCCGGGGCCAGCAAGGGATGGATTGTGACATCCAGGAATGAAGGAAGAAGAGAGAATAACAAAGGGTCTGGCATCTGCTGTTGCACGGCTCTTGCACAATGCAAGGAAACCCCTGCCCTCTGCAGCGCGTCCCTCTTCCCACGTGGGCCCGAAAACGTAAAATAGCACTGACCTCACATCCCTGTGCACGTCTCCCGGTTGCCTTGCCGCACCGGTACTGCATTTCCCCGAAAATAAGACAGGGTCTTATATTTGTTTTTCCTCTAAGAAGACACCCTAGGGCTTATTTTCGGGGGATGTGTTATTTTCCCCTCAAAGCCTCAGCTCGCAGCACGCACAGGGTGGCCGGGACCCGACAGGGGGAGCCGACCTTGTTGGTGGGGCTGCCTGCACCTTTCCGGTCCCCTCTGGGACAGCAGCTGTCACGATGGGGCAGATGAGAAGGGCTGCTCGTCTTCTTTCCCGCTCCGAGACGACATGCATGGGTTGTGCAGACGCGCTGCGCAGCCACGCCCGTCACTAGGGCTTATTTTCGGGGTGGGGCTTCTATTGCGCACATGCTTAGAGATCCTGCCAGGGCTTATTTTATGGGTAGGGCTTATTTTGGGGGAAACGAGGTAGGTGCACAAAGGAACCAGAGCTTTGTGTATGGTGCATGGGCTTGGGAGTCAGGCTGGCCCTGCCACTTGTTAGCCAAGTTATTTATCTTTGCAAAGCCAGTAGCTCTCTATTTTCCATTATGTGAGTTTGAAACAGATTATACATGTAGGCTGGGAGCAGTGGCTCACGCCTGTCATCCTAGCACTCTGGGAGGCCAAGGTGGGAGGACTGCTTGAGCTCATGAGTTCGAGACCAGCCTGAGCAAGAGCGAGACCCCGTCTCTACTATAAATAGAAAGAAACTAGCCGGGCGTGGTGGCGCATGCCCGTAGTCCCAGCTACTCAGGAGGCTGAGGCAGGAGGATCGCTTGAGCCCAGGAGTCTGATGTGAGCTAGGCTGACGCCACGGCACTCTAGCCTGGGCAACAGAGTGACACTCTGTCTCAAAAAAAAAAAAAAAAAAATTAAATTTCCTGAAAATATAACTATTTACATTTTTCTTACACATCACTGGCAAAGGCTATTTCTTATCTTAGTCTGGTATCATAAATGTCAAAATTTTACATTTATAATCTTTTTTTTTTTTTAGACAGAGTCTCGCTCTGTTGCCCAGGCTAGAGTACCGTGGCGTCAGCCTCGCTCACAACAACCTCAAACTCCTGGGCTCCAGCAATCCTCCTGCCTCAGCCTCCCAAGAAGCTGGGACTACAGGCATGTGCCACCATGCCCAGCTCATTTTTTTCTATATATTTTTAGTTGGCCAATTAATTTCTTTCTATTTATAGTAGAGACGGGGGTCTCGCTCTTGCTCGGGGTGGTCTCGAACTCCTGAGCTTTAACGATCCTCCCTCCTTGGCCTCCCAGAGTGCTGGGATGACAGCCTCTGCCCTCTTAAAACCACCCATGCTGAAATGTGTGTGTGGATGCATTAACCGAATCAGTTCAGGAACGTTCTCTGTATGCAGGAAGGGCTGCATGGGAAAGCTGACATTGAGCACCGACTGAATGCTACTCACAAAGCAGGTGGTTGTCCCTGGGGGCAAAGCGAGGCAGGAACAAAACGGGCAGGTGACTCACCTGGCGGAGCTTGGTCCCCACCATGGAGGCGCTGCTGTCAAGCACAAACACCACGTTCTTGGGCAGAGGGGGCAGGTCTTTAGGAGCAAAGTAGTGCACGAAATAGCCATTCAGCACCTGGGGGAGGGAAAAGGACGCGAAAGTGGTAGTACCTAGACTATAGGGAGGAAAAACACCGAAAACGGAGAGTCCATGGAACTTGTAAAACTCAAAGACTGCAAGAAACAGAGTCTGGGGTCTGATTACACACCCAAAATAAAATGATCTATGGTCCTAATCCCTCCAACAGAACTAATTGCTAATTTAATTTGTAGAAGGATAGAATCTCCCCTTAAAAATATATCAATTATGGCCACTAATTTCAATTTTCATTATCCCTCCTTCCCTGTCCCTTGCTACCTGAGAGTCCTGCTTCCCTCCTCATCTGGTTCTTACCAAGCATCTTACGAGTTGAGACATCAAGGTTGTCTACATTCTAGATGCACGTTAATACCTTTTAATATTCCCACCCTGTCTCTAGAGCAATGAAACCTAAAGGGAAAGGAGGCATGGAGCAGTCTCTTTTAATTAAAACTGAAGATGAACTGAAATTCTAACTTAATCTAAAACGCCACAGGGAAAATCATGTTACAGATTTCGTTTGCTCTCCAGATTGCTGAAGCAGGAAGTAGGTTGGCTCGGCTTCCAGCAAAAGAGCACCGCTAGTCTCTTCGAAGATGTATTTTGGGTTAGAACAAATTCAGCAAGAAACAGAAAGTTCTCCATGCCTTAGGGAAGTGTGCAATCCACAGTTCCGAGTCCAGCTAAAAGCATTCAGCAACCAACACGAAACAGCCACGGTGAACCCAGTAAGTACCTGGATGTCCCCAATGGTCTTTCCCCTGTTGACGTCGTATCGAATGATGAAGTCTCCCAAAATTCCATTCTGGGCGATCTTGGCTTGTTGTACCACACTAGGCTTAAACACTATGTTGGCAAAAGTCTTGTTTTGGTTGATAACGGTAGAAGGAGGAGGTCCAGAATCATCTACAAACACAATAGAAACATAATAACTGAACATAGAAATATTTTTCTGAAAAGAAAGAAGAATTTTTTTTTTTTTTGCATAGACACATTTTATTGCAGGTATGTATTTCGTAGGAACTTCTAAGACTCTGTGCTGCCTAAGTGGACACAGGTACTACAGTAATTGGGGACTGGGCCTGTGGGAGGGGGGAGGGGGCGGGTATATACATATGTAATGAGTGAGATGTGCACCATCTGGGGGATGGTCACGCTGGAGACTCAGACTTGTGGGGGGAGGAAGGGAAAGGGCATTTTTTGAAACCTTAAAATTTGTACCCCCATAATATGCCGAAATAAAAAAAAAGATTCTGTGCTGATAATATGTCACAATGCAAGAGATATATATCATATAGTTCACCTTTATGCCCCCTTTTGAACCTTTTATCACGAAAATTTTTAAAACACACAAAAGTAGAGAGAATAGTAAAACCAACCCCTGTGTACCTACCACCCAGCTTTAACACTTAGCATTTTATCAATCTTTTGTATCTCTTTTTGTCTATTATCCCACTATTTCTTTTCCAAGAGTATTTTTATTTATTTATTTGAGACAGAGTCTCACTTTGTTGCCCGGGCTAGAGTGCCGTGGCATCAGTCTAACTCACAGCAACCTCAATCTCCTGGGCTCAAGCGATCCTCCTGCCTCAGCCTCCCGAGTAGCTGGGACTACAGGCATGCGCCACCATGCCCGGCTTATTTTTTCTATATATATTAGTTGGCCAATTAATTTCTTTCTATTTATAGTAGAGACGGGGTCTCGCTCCTGCTCAGGCTGGTTTCGAACTCCTGACCTCGAACAATCCTCCCGCCTCGGCCTCCCAGAGTGCTGGGATTACAGGCGTGAGCCACCACGCCCGGCCGAAAATAAGAATTCTTAATCCTAAGCGTACATGAAGGATTTTCATCCAGATACTGAATCAAAGCTAAGCTTACAACGGCTGCGAAGCAACCGCTTCTCCTTTTAAATCTCCTCCAGTTGACACCGTGGACTGGGCTCACCAGCAGTTCCCCATCTTCAGTGAGCAGAAGAGAAAAGGAAATGAGGGGAAAGTGGCCACAGCAATTTGCTCTTAAGAATAAACTTCCTTCTGCTAAGGGCTGATGAGACACCAAAGTCAAAGGAAGTTTAAACATTTCCTTTGACACAACAGACAACGATTTTTTTTTTCAGAGACAATTTAGGTGTGACCTTAACAGGAATCACAAGGCAGGACTGATGCTTCTACTAGCTGCCCTTATCCAGGGCAGGGATTTTGGAAGTGATCGGAGAGTCAGCAGATGGAATTGTTTATTGCTGGAGGACGGCAGTTACACAAGGAGAGAGAACGGGCTTCCACGGATCTGCTCATCTCAAGAGGCTGGGGAAACACGGGTGGCATGTTGGCAAGTGCCACTGTCCAGGTCACCTGCGTGGTTGACGATGGCTTAGAAACATTAGGGGAGAGGAAACAGAGGAGGCTGGAGATGGGAAGGCCCTTGAAATGAGAGGAAACCGCATGTCCCGGGGCCCATCTCTCACTGGTGATTCTTGGTAGAGCACCCAGAGTGACAGGCATAAAACACATCAGCTAGGAACTCAGGACCACGCGCCAGAAGGACTCACACTCCAATATCGGTTCCCCCCTTTTTTTTTTTTTTTTTTGAGACAGAGTCTCGCTTTGTTGCCCAGGCCAGAGTGAGTGCCGTGGCGTCAGCCTAGCTCACAGCAACCTCAAACTCCTGGGCTCAAGCAATCCTCCTGCCTCAGCCTCCCGAGTAGCTGGGATACAGGCAAGCGCACCATGCCCGGCTAGTTTTTTCTATATATATTGTTGGCCAATTCATTTCTTTCTATTTATAGTAGAGACGGGGTCTCGCTCTTGCTCAGGCTGGTTTCAAACTCCTCACCTCGAGCGATCCGCCCGCCTCGGCCTCCCAGAGTGCTAGGATGACAGGCGTGAGCCACCGCGCCCGGCCTCGGTTCCCCTTTTCACTCGCTGTGAGACCTTGGGCACGGCCCTGAGCCTTGGCTATCTCATCTGTAAGTTAACGTAGCCCAACCTCACACCGTTGAAGACACGGAAGTGACGCCATGCACCCTGGAGCCATTACGGGTCATGGTAAGCAGTCACACTAGCTAATGTTATTGTCACCCTTCATATTTGCAAATAGAAGGAGGAATTAAGTGTAAGACCGTAGATATGTCAAACTGGGATACTACGTGGCAATAAAACCAAAGAACTACGACTGCCGTTTACAACGTGGTTGAATCTCACACAGTCATCTCGAGTAGAAAAATAGCGATTCAAGAGTGTCTGCTCTACGTTTCCATTTACGTGGGGTTCAAGAGCAAGCATAACACAACCCCGGCCATCGAAGCGGGACAGTGGCTGGTTGCCTTAGGGCTACTGCCCGAAAACGGGTACCGGGAATTTGGAGGGATGGTGAAAAAATTCCGTATCTTGATGTGGAAGGTAGCTGTGCAGGTGTATACATGACGTAAAATTCATCAAGCTGTAACTCTACGATCTGCACATTTGTGCAGCACACTCCAATGTTTAAAAAGATTACATCTGCTGGGATCGGGTAGCAGAACAGATGGAACAGACATTCCCTGGCATGGAACCTACCGTGTTTCCCGAAAATAAGACTTACCCATAAAATAACCCTGGCAGGATTTCTAAGCATGTGCGCAATAGAAGCCCCACCCCGAAATAACCCTAGTGACGGGCGTGGCTGCGCAGCGCATCTGCACAACCCATGCGTGTCGTCGAGGAGCGGAAAGAAGACGAGCAGCCCTTCTATCTGCCCCGTGAGAGCCCGTTGCTCGACATGAGAGATTGGGACGACGGTTCTAAAGGAAATAGAGCCCAGGCGAGGTGGCTCACACCTATAATCCTAGCACTTTTGGAGGCCGAGGCAGGCGGATTGCTCGAGGTCAGGAGTTCAAAACCAGCCTGAGCAAGAGCGAGACCCCGTCTCTACTATACATAGAAAGAAATTAATTGGCCAACTAATATATATAGAAAAATCAGCCGCATGGTGGCACAGCCTGTAGTCCCAGCTACTCGGGAGGCTGAGGCAGGAGGATTGCTTGAGCCCAGGAGTTGGAGGTTGCTGTGAGCTAGGCTGATCCACGGCTCACTCTTAGCCAGGCAACAGACTGAGACTCTGTCTCCAAAAAGATAAATAAAATAAATAAAGGATATAGAGTCGCAAGAAATTCAGGATGGGATTTGGTGTTTGGAGAGTGATGATGATGTTCCAGAAGAAGACGTTCACACTATTTGAATACATGTAGATGGTTGCACCATCCTTAAAAAAAATAACACAATGCCCTGAAAATCAGCCCTAGGGTGTCTTCTTGAGGAAAAATAAATATAAGGCCCTGTATTATTTTCAGGGTAATAGTGTTATGTGCCCCGCGAACCCCTACCCATCCTTTCCCTGAGGACGAGCACATCCGTGTGGGCGTTTCCATGGGGATTCAGTGTCGCCAGAGTCGGAACCAGGACCAGGGGTAGAGTCACCTGGAGCACCTGCAGTGCGGTGTCTGCACACTCTGAGAAAGACGTGCTATCGGCACGGGCAGAAGCCACGCTCCTGCCACCAGAAACGTTCCAGTGAGCCGGGGGACAGTCACCCGCAGGATGGCGCAGAGCAGTGGCCACGGCGTGAGCCGGAACCGGCAACAGCATCGTCACCTGGGAACATGCTAGAAATGCGGACCCCCCCCGGCCCCCCGGCCAGCCCCGGGGAACCCTGGATCAGACGCTCTGGGGGCGGAACCGGCCATGCGTAGTCTGGTGAGCTCCTCAGGTGATTCAAGTCTGGCCCGCAGAAAACACACTGCGCCTTACCCACAGACGAGAGTCGGTACAATGCGCCGTACGTAATCAGGCAGCACCTAGATTGTCTCTTACGATTCTGCAGTCATCATTAGGCGACCCTCTGTACAGTGCCAGCGTGCACCTGCTTTGTGTCTGGCTTCACCTCTCTCCCACGAACACGCTTCTCACGAGGCCCTGAATGCATGCCGTTCGAAGCCTGCACAAAAGCCCAGGGGGGTTAGGAAGTATAATTTCCATCTTCATAATTCCTGTGACTGGGCTCCTTCATCGGATCGCCCATGAGAAAGGACAGTGTTATGAGGATGCCGGTTTCCTGCTGACCTCTCGTGTCGGCTAGTTCGTGATGAAAATTCGTGAGATTTGCCCTACGTGGGCTTGCTTTCCACGCCCAAGGAGTGGGTTGCCCCTCAGCCTGGGCACCCGCCCAGAAGCCCGGTTCCTGACCCGGCCCCCACTCGTGAACTGCCAGACGGGACACGTTGACCCCGTGCACGTGCCGCTACCTGTTGTTTTGCAGAAGAAGTTTACTGGGCACGATTCTAGAGTTCATAGCTCTAGAAAAGAAAAACCCTCTTTTTAGTAGAAAGAGGAGGAGGGGGAAAAAGCTGCACAGTTACGGACCCAGCCCCCAAAGCAGAATGGTAACGATTTCGTTTCTCCCGGCTGGGGGTCCGGGCTTGTCCTGCCGGGCGCCGTGGCACAGTGAACGTCCCCAGCCGGGGCCTCGGAGTCACAGGCTGTTCTGAAAAGCGCAAGGAGAGAGGTTGGGAGTGGACCAAAAAAAAAAGGAAGAATCTGACCTACTTTCCTAATGAGAAGCACGTATCTCTTCCTCCTTTTTGTTTCCCTTCATTCTTGCCTACTTGGCCGGGGGTGGCAGCGAACGGCAGTGGCTGCTGTGGTTTGGGGGAGACCGAGTCCCCTAATGCCATTCCCTCCGCCCTCCCCGGGAGCACTGGTGGTCCCACGCAAGACGCCCCGTCTCGTGCATGCGCCCTCCAGAAAATGCACCCATCGCTCCGCCACCCACCGACTGCGCTCTGTCTCGCAGGGCGCCCGGGAGGCTCTCGTCCCTCCCACAGCCCCACGCTTTGGAGCGAGAAGCTGTGTCCTCCTTGGAAGTCACAGGAC